TCTCTTATGTGACTCTTCACTCTTCTGGGTCTCTTCCTACTTAGCTCTCTGATACTTCCTTTTTATTTTCCTTAATTTCTCTTGATTCACTTTTCTTTTGATTCTCCTTTCTTTGCCCTCCTCCACATTTTCATTATCATTTCTGTTCCCAGTCTATTTTTTCTTCCTAAGTGACTGCAATTCACATTAAGTATATTTGTATACATGACTTAATTCTGTATCTCTAAAACCGCCTTACGGTAGTGGAAATCTCTGTCCCCAGCTGCCCCCTGAAGTCCACTCACACATCTTTCAGGCATTGAGATCACCAAGTATGTAACCTGTCCCACTGTCTCCCCCTCTCTCTGCAGCTCCGGAGCTCCCACGCTGGTTTGTGTTATTGCTGCCTACTTGGTCAACTGAACATGTCATTTCAGAGTCAAATCCAATTCTCTTATAAGTACTGAGTCTCCCTCTAAATATGGATTATTTCCATAGATCCCTCTCTTCTCTCCTTGTTTTCCACACAGCTCTTAGAACGATCTTTTCTAAAATACATTTGCCCATATCATTCCTCTGTTCAAAACTGTGAGTTCTCATTGTGGAATTTGGCCCTGGCCTGCCTTTACAGCCTTGTCTCTCACTGTCCTTCCTGTCCTATCAATACTTTGATATCAGAATACTCAGAGTAAAAAAAGAGAGAGAAGAAAAAAAAAAAGGAAAGAAAAAGAAAAGAGACTCCTCAGAGTTCCCTGAACACTCAGACATTATCTTGGCTCTGTTTTGGTGATCTCTTTTCCTTCCCACCATCTTCAACTAATTTAAACTGAGTTTTCCTACACGTGCTTATCTCTACACCAATTTTCTGGGCCTCTTGCAGATGGGAACTGTGTCTGTCTCACCTTTGCATCCTCTGGGCAGCATCCTGGCTCCATATTCACAGCAGGTTCACGCAGGTGTTGAGAGTGAGCGCTTGCTCTTGGAAAAGCTCACTTGGATGTCTCTGTGACTCAGTTACCTTGTGGGTCTCCCAGAAGTCCTGTTAGGAGCAGGTAACGTGATAGGGGAGAGGTGTTTAGAAAATTTTGAATTGCTGTGTAAATGTAAGGGAGAAACTAGAAGAAAGAACAGAACTTTTCAATGGTTGTGTTTAATATATTCCTTGATACTTAGAGACTTCTGGGAGATCAAAAAAAATTACAGCTCTGTTATATCATGGAGCAAGTCAATCGGTAATTTTATGCACTTAGTGGAAAACAAAGGTCTATATAAAGCAGTTTTATGATGAGAGAGAAGAATATTTGGTATCAGTGTAGTTTTGGCAGATAAGTAACTTAAGGAATGGACTTTTTCTTAAGAATAATTGGGGGAAAGTAACATTAAATTGATCATATGGGTGGAAAATTAATTTGTTCCAGGCCTTAGTTATATCCTATTGTAACTTTTTTTTACTTTATTAACAAGGGAAGCTCTAATATGGATGCATCTTTAGTTATTTTGTGGACTTTGCATTATGGTTTTGTAAAATGTAAGAATGGTTAAATAATATTTATGTTCTATAAAGATTTTTTTTTTTTTTTGCAGTTTTGGCTGAGGCTGGGCTTGAACCCACTACCCCCAATATATGGGGCCAGCGCCCTACTCCTTGAACCACAGGCGTTGCCCTCCTATAAAGACTTTTTATTTTATTTTATTTATTTTTTTTTTTTTGAGACAGAGCCTCAAACTATCTCCCTGGGTAGAGTGCCATTGCATCACAGCTCACAGCAACCTC